CAGGCCACAGTAGAGGACAATGCAGCCACTTTTGATGAGAACTGATAGACTAAGATCAGAAAGAAGAGGAGAACCTCCCCTATCAGTGGACTTGGGGAGTGGCATGCATGCAGAAAGGGGAGGGAGGGTGGGATCGGGAGGGGAGGAGGGAGGGGCTTATGGGGGGATACAAAATGAATAAAGTGTAATTAATAAAAAATTTTAAAAAAAAAGAAAAAAAATCAGTAAAGTAAAATAAAAAGAAAGAAATAAAACACTTGTTTTAATAAAATAAAAACACCTTATTTTATTTTAAAATAACTTTATTTTATTAAATATATTCATTTATTTTATTAAGATATCCATGTATATCATTTAATGAAATAAAATAAGATATTCATGGATATAAACATGTTATGGATTTCTTGGAATCCTGACCTTTTCTGAGAGCCACATTTTGTTATTTTTGAGCACAGGATGCCTTTTCAACTTCATGATCTTGTATAGATACAGTGGTGGAATGCTCACCTAGCATTCACAAGGCCCTCAGTTCTATCCCAGTCACACACACAAACACACACACTCAATTAACTTCTTTCTTTCTATGTTTTTTTTTTATGAGTATGGGTATCTTGCCTCCATGTATGTCTGTATACTAAGTGCATGCAGTGCTTAAGGGAGGCCAAAGGACGGTATTAGATCCTCTTGGACTGGAGTTACAGCTATTAGCAGACATGTGGGTGCTGAAAATTGAACCTGGGACCTCTGGAAGAGCAGCCAGCATTCCTAACCGACTGAGCCATTTCTCTAGCCCACTAATTCACTTTTTCAAAGCTAGTAAAGAATCGAGCATTTATCTACCATTCTTGTGTAACCTGTACCAATGGTTAAGAGAACAATGAGTCGAGGGAATTATCCCTTTATGAAAGTATGTCCATCAATAAACTATCTACATTCCCATCATCTACATTCCCAATAAATGCATGAACATGGCCACAAGGGAATCATCAGCTGGTGTGACAAAAAGAATGAAGAAACAGATACCAGCTGCTTCCTGCTAGAGCAGCGGTTCTCAATCTTCCTAATGCTCTGACATTTCAATACATTTCTTCATGTTGTGGTGACACCCAACCTTAAAATTATTTCATTGCTACTTCATAACTGTAATTTTGCTACTGCTATGAATCATGTATCTGATATGCTAGCCCTGTGGAGTGGAGACCCACAGCTTGAGAACCACCATGCTAGCGGAAGATACCACTATGATATTCATGACACAGGCACACCATGAACTTGATCTCACTTTAGAGCGCAGTGTCTGTAGGAAACTCAGACCAGAGACAACGGGTAAACTGTACTGCAGCTGTCAATCAGCAAAATTCAGACCGAGAAAGTCTACAAGCTAAATGCTCTGTGGTCTTAAGAGGGCAAAATTAATGAGACAAATGGGGGATGTGATAGAAAGCATATTAGTAATGTCTCCAACAAAAAGTTCTTTAAATGGACAAGATTCAACTTAAGGCATCCTAGGTGATGATACTATAATAAAGTGCAAGGAAGAACTCACTTTAAAAGTCAGGCCAAGGGCTACTTTAGAAACAAAGTGGGTGGGATTACTACAGCACACACAGAGGGCTGGTGGGCAGGCAGCAACTCTAATTCCTGATCTGGGTGATGGAGACAAGCGCACTCCACCTTAGGGTGATGTCATAAAGTGACACATTTAAGTCAGGTGACTTTCTGTAATTGTGTTTTATTAAACACCCTAAAAATTTAGGAAAATTCAAAGCACTAGTGTAAATTGGCATAAACAGAATCCAACCCTGAAAATAATCAATTTCTAAATTTTTTTATCAGCTACTACAGCTTCAGCAAGGTTCCTACACCTGCTTTTTATGTTGAAAACAGACTATTTTCAGTGTTAAGAACATGGCAGAAGTAAATGAGCCCTTCTTTTGCCCTAAGGCCTGAAGATACACAAAAGGGGAGGGCACTGGGACTCCTGGTGATTGCCTACTGTTTCATCTACCTCCTAACGTCAACGTAAATTCATCTCATGGACATCTCACATCCTACCTTACAGAAATGAAAAGTTACAAAAGGTCTGGTGAGTAAAGATAAGCTAGGCCAACAAAGGAGATGGGATAAGGCTCTCCCAGACCACCGGTGGGCTTACTTTACTCATTCAACCCTTTCAAAACAACCTTAAAAAGGTTTGCTTTTCCATTATAAGCATTTACACATGAGGCGAGCCCTGCAGCCAGGTGAGAGGTGCTTGTCTTCATCCTAGCTACGAGCACACACATGCCTCACTATGACTCAGGGCACCTTGGAGCCTAGCAATGTTCCACAACTGCCTTCACGCCTAATACGCTGGTTCCTAAGAGACACAATGGCATGCATCTGAAAGCCAAATTACTAGAAGAGGTGCAGATGGCCTCCTTCATTCAAACCCCTTATCTTAAAACAGGAGCCACACCCTGAGCTGCTTGCTGGGTCATCATCACTACATCTGATCTGAACTCAAATGCTTAAAAAAAAAAAAAAAAAAAAAAAAAGTGGAAATGGGGGGATAAGATTATATAGGAGACAATATTAACCAGCAATGAGAAACTGTAATTCAAAAGGCGTTCAATCATACCTTTTAAACATTTACTGGAGCAAATATGAAAAATAGCCTGACTCACCAGAATACAATTTGAGACCAGGTCTAAATTCCTTCCTCTCTCCACCCCAAGTTGTGCTATATTAGTTAGAAAACATGAGGCAGGGAGGTCCATTGCCTGATGCTGCTATTCCCAGGAAATGATGCAGCAAAACCAACATCTTTTTTCTTTATTGTCTTAATTGATTACAATTTATTCCCTTTGTATCCCAGCTGTAGCCCCCTCCCTCATCCCTTCTCAATCCCACCCTCCCTCCCTCATCTCCTCCCATGCCCCTCCCCAGTCCACTGATAAAGGAGGTCCTCCTCCCCTTCCATCTGACCCTAGCCTATCAGGTTTCATCAGGACTGCCTGCATTGTCACCAACACTTTTTTTTTAAATAATTTGTTTAATAATTTGTCCATTGGTGTGAGGATATCAGATTCCCTGAAACTGGAGTTACAGGCAGTGTGAACTACCATGAGGGTGCTGGGAATTGAACACAGGCCTCCAGAAGAGAAGCCAGCCCTCTTAACAGCTGAGTCACCACTCCAGCTCCGACACTTTAGGATGAAGACCAAACAGGACTTATCTGTATTTTATTTTGTGTGAAGGTGTTTGCCTGCCTGTATCTCTGTGCACCTCAAGCATGAAATGTCTGTGGAGGCCCAGACGAGGGCATCACATCCCCTAGAACTGAAGTCAAAGACAGTTGTGAGCCTCCATGTTGGTATGGGAATAGACCATGAGTCCTCTCCAAGAGCCACCAGTGCTCTCAACCACTGAGCTGTCAATGCAGACCCCAGGCATGAATTATGTAAAGGTAACTTGTATAAAAGACAAAGATTAGGGTGCAATTTCGTCATCTTTACCCTCCATATCTGTCTTAAGTTGTCAGACAGCAGAAGCCCACTCTCTCAGTCTCCTGCTCTTCAGTGTTTTCCCACTAATGTTGTGAGAATTCTCACTCTCTCTCACAGTCTCCAGCTCTTCTGTGTCTTCCCACTAATTCTGTGAGAACTCTCAACTTCCCAGATATTCTCACTCATTCTCTTTTTACATATTCATGAGATATATTTGTAAACAAGTATTTAAAGACCTGCTAAACTGCCTGACACAGGAATCCCAGGTTCTTTCTGACTCACAATACTTATAGAAGCCAGCCAACAGTCTCCATGTCTGAGAAAACAGACTTAATACACACCCCTGTATTCTCTCTGTACACGATGGCACACTCCCTCCACTAAGAATTAGTTCCCAGACTCCAATTTTTATGAACACTTAGAGTAGAAGGACTCCTTCCACGGACATGACTTTGCACATGGTAATTCATGAATACTTACGAAACTCTAGCTGCACACCAGCCCCTGCCAAGATCAAGACTTTGAAAACAGATGTTGGTAACACTCATTTATTCTCCACTCTAAAAATGACTGCAAGTACAACACATCCAAAGTACAGAATTGAATTCTACTTAGAAGCACAGTGTCACTCCATGGCACAAGCAGGAACTAGAAAATGTACACGGGCTTGTACATTTTCATCCAGACAAGGCACTCTGGAACATGGACCTGTGACGCAGGGCAAATCTACAGTGTAAGAATGGAGAGGAAGGGAGTATTTGTAGTTCCTGATGAGCCCCTGAGAAATAACAGAGGCTGTTTAAACCTTACTTACTGCCTGGTGGATTTGTGCCTTCACTTGCTCACTCAACATGCCTTCAAAGACGAAAGAGTCTCCAAACTTCTCAGCCTATATGGAGGGGGGAAAGCCAGAAAAAGGTTAGAGTCACGGGCTTCAAGGATACCATTTTCTTCACAATGCTACTGTGGGATTCTTCCCATCCAGGAAGATAGTGGGCTCAGGTTTTCCCTATAACTTCCCAAACTACTCAGAAATTACTTTAAAGCACCCAACTTCCTTTTGAAACAGGTTCTGGTCACACACAAGACTGTTTTCATGAGAGGCCTGATGAACTGATAAGACTTCAGGCTAAAAACAGATTAGATTCTGAGAAGACAAATGCCCTCTGGAAGGAAACATATTTCTCCCAATATTGTAAGTTACTCTGAGAAATAACATTATTTAATATATGTGATATTGCATAAGCAAGTAGTTGGTTCTCTGCCCTGCTCCTAGGATCGACCTAAAAAAAATTAAATGCCACTGCTTGCTGATTCTGACACATTCTATTGTGTTTACAGTTGTCAAGGGATCAACTTAAGCTTCAGGTGAAAACCTGTATTTTAACTGCTTTTTGACAGTACTGTCACAAATCTTTATCCATATCTGCTCTAAAAGTAGGATCCTTTGACCTCAAGCTCCTGTGACTACTGTTCTAGTTTCCTTCCTACATAGCCAACTGTTCTTACAGATCATGAGACATAAGCACTGTCTTCCTGAGGCTCCCAAGGGCTCTGCACCTGCCTGTGTGAACTAGCTTCTTACAGGAGGCCAGTGGCTCCCTAGCTTGTACGACTGAGCTCACATTGTCAGCTTTTTAGACTTACGTTGCTCAACAAACCCAGAGATTCTAATCATGGGACTGGAAAGAGGCCAGAATAACCTGCCTCTGTGCAATCTGGTACCTCTAACACAATGAGCTCAAGAGAAATGCAAGGAGCCTGTCCAGTCTCCTCACATTCACCAGGACCAGAACTTGGAAGGTCCCCCAATCTTCCCTTCTAGACCTGGCCTATCCTCCCCAGGTAAATTTAACTGAGTCCTGATTCCTGAACATCAAGCCTTACAATAAAGTCTTTTTTTTTTTAATTTATTCAAAGCGATTTTATTGCTGGTGTATACAAGAGAATTTATGCCACTAGAGCAGAGGCTGTGGATGACTCGTATTTCCAATTGGGTGGGAGGACCTGCTTAGTCTTATAGTAACAAGCCAACCGGTGAATTCTGCTCTCTATCAGAATCAAGCGGAATTTAGCATCCTTATCCTTTCTGTTTCTCTTAAGATGCTTTCGGACAGCAACAGCTTTCTTAATCAAATGGTAGAGATCTTCAGGGAGGTCAGGGGCAAGGCCTTTGGACTTAAGGATTCTCAAGATTTTATTACCAGTCACAAAACGGACCTGTGCCACACCATGTGAGTCCCTCAGGATCACACCTATCTGGGAGGGAGTCAGGCCTTTCTTGGCCAGTTTGTAAATCTGTTCCTTCACGTCGTCAGACGTCAACTTCAACCACGTGGGGACGCTGGCGGTTAGTTAGGGCAGCGCCGACTGGGACAGGCCCTCCCCGGGAGCATGTATGCGACCCATGATGGCGGAGGTCTGGCCTACAATATAGTCTTAAGCCTGTTTTTAATGACTAGTGATGACTGTTTTCTTTCCCCAACAGTGTTTGTGTGTTCCTAGAGATATCATGATGCCTAGCAACCCAAACTACTTATTTACTCAGCAAACACATATACAGCCATCTACCACATGACTGAACTAGGAATAAACCAGGGATTACTGTCATCACTATTTCATAGGTATAGTGTCTATTCATCTTTATATTTTTACTAGCATATATTAATCATATATAATAAAGGACTTTATTATGATACTTTCATACATATACAGAAAGAATTTTGATACTATTCACTCATTATTCTCTCTTGTTCCTTTCCGACCTTCTATAATCATCCTCTTCTTCCCAAATAGTGCCCTTTCTCCCTGAAAAAGGGACATTTTAGTCAAGCAGCTACAAGTCAGGCAAGTAGGGACAAGCAGGAGGGCTCTAGTTCTGGGCAGAAAGAACAGCTCTGATTTCAAGCAGAAGCAACTAAAGGCACTAAAGGGTGTAGGTGTAGTGGGTTGTATCATCCTCAAGAACAAAAACGAGAGCCACTGGCCTAGGATATGGTGAGCAGTGGGGAAAATGTACAATGAAGTTAGAGACACTGGAGGGAAATCTATAAAATGTCATGAGAATATGAAACATGGTATCCAGGGCAGGGATTCTGAACTCTGTTGTAACCTCCTGGCAGCATCAAGCTGAGAACTCCTCAGAATGCCTGGTTCAAATATTCAAATACATAAAATAAAACCAATAGGATTACAAAAAAAAAAAAAAAAACCTCAAAATTACTGCTGCAATGGTATGTGTGCTTATAGAATAAGTAGCATCCAGGCAGGTATTACAATTTTCATACTTCAGGGTGCGGATGAATGCAAACAGCAACAACATGATCAACAGTGTCTGGCTGTCAGATACCTTAAATTCTCATGTACTAGCTAATCTTCCAGAAGAACTCTGCTCTATAAAGTCCCCCTTCCTTAGAACTCCCCTAGGCTGGAGACATGGCTCCATGGTGAAAAAACTCATTGTCCAGAGCTTTATTGACCAAGTAAAAGCCACATGACCCCTCTGTAATCCCAGTGCTAAAGGCTTGGGAGGCAGAGCTATCTGGACCTTAAGCTCACTGGTCAGTCACTCTAGCCAAAAGTGCACTCTCCGGGTTCAGAGACCCTCTCACAAAACAAGGTGGACTATCAGGCGGTTCACAAGCACCAGCAGCTCAAACTCCAGGAGATTCAACATCTTTGCCTGACCTCTTTGGTCACCTACACATACATATGTGCATGCTTCTGGCTTCCATGTACACCCACATGGGTGAATGTACCCACATCCTCAAGTATGTGTTTATACACACACTCACACAAATTTAAAAACAGTAAGAGATAAGCCATTGAAGAAGATATCCCAATATCAAATTCTGGCTTCCATACATACCCACATAGGTAAATATACACACATCCTCATGTATATATACACACACAATTTTTCTAACATAGATTATGAAATGAGGTGAGGATATGAAATAAAAGAATAGAGACTTTTGCTACTACAAATATCTACATACAAGACTTACAACTACTTGGTATGTTTTAGGAAATTGCAAAGAAATGAGACAGTGCAAAAATGAACCCAAATGTTGTCTTGCTTTTGACATTCACTCCCAAATGAATTTTTAAATTAAAAAAAAAAAAGGTGTTTGGTGCCAATTTTTTTTTAAGTAGAGACTCCACAAACTGAATAAAACAGTAAAGGTTTGTGAAGAGCTAAAAAGAGACAGTATTTAGGAAACAAGTATATTTGAGATTCTCACAGAAACTAGAAAATAACCCCCCTTGCACTATGATTCAGTGACCTCTGGAAAAGGCCTAAAAATGCCCCCAGAAAAGAGCTTCTGAGTCACCAACACACTAAAATAAAGCCACAACAATGAAAAGCTGCACTTAGGCACTTGACCATTTCTGAAATGTATAATGCTTTGGGACAAGCAGTCTGTGTTTCACTGAGAAGAATTACACAGCATCTGTGTTCTCAGAAAGCCCAGTGAGCAGCAGCCCTCTGCAGTAGCTTAGAGCACTGACACAATACAGCATAAGGATTAGGAACACAGGTTCAGTTGTCCACACTGCCCACGCCTGATTACAGTCATTGACTGGTAGTAAGATTAGGGTGAATCAGTGTTGACTCTCTGCTTGTTACATCATGAAACTGCTGTGAAAATTAAAAGGGAGACAGGAAGAAAGTGTTCATCAGAGTGCTGGGCACAAAGTGAGTACGTTCAGTGTTTGCAGTGATTAAACTCTTCTTGAACATTCTGGAAAATAGCCAGTTCTCCCTCCTGTCCCCAAGCCCATTACCTCTGTCTGATAGCCAGTTGAGTTCACAAACTTCTCAAAGTCAGCGTTGCTGACTTCATAGGCATCCATGTAAAAGGCACCAATAGTGACTCTCCTGGCAGGGGCTTCTCCATCCTGCTTGATCTGAGGATCATCGGTGCCCATTGTAAATACTCCAGCGGGGATGAGGACCATCTGAGTGAAAAGGGGAAACACAGGACATCATGCATCAAAAGCAAAGTGTACCTGTGCAGGCTTCAAAGTTCTCAGCACACATCAAGCATCCAGGGCTTAACACCCCCACACAGAAATCTGCAAAACTAGTAAAACCAAGGGCATGGGTGATGGCTCAACAGTAAAGTGCTTGCTGCACAAATGTAGGCACCTTTGTTTGGATCTGTAACAGCCACATAAGAGCTGGGCGTGGTGGCTCAGGTCTGTAACCCCAGTGGTGGGGAGTATGCAGGGGCAGAGACAGGAGGGTTCCAGGGGCTCAGTGGCCAACAAGTCTGACTAAATCAGTGATCTCCAGGTTCTGTAATATATGCTCCTCAAAAGTAAATAAATAAATAAAACAGAGACGCAATTGAGAAAGACACTATGTCAACCTCTGGCCTCCACATATGTATGTATTTATAAGTATACCCCCACACACATACAACACATGACACACACACACACACACACTTGCAAAATCACTGCACACATAAACTGATGGTGAATCATAAGTCATAAAAAGAAGGAGAAATTCTTTTGGAAAGTGATCTTTCTCAATGAACCTCACAACAGATTTGAGCATGCCAGGGAGACAGTTCTGGGAAAACTGCAACAATGAACTATGGAGATAAGGAAAATTATGTACTCTTCTCTTTCTGTTCATTATATCCTCTTTTTAATGTATGTGTGGGTGTCTGTACCATGGTTCCTATATGTGTATGCTCATGTGTAGGGTATCTATGGGAACCAAAAGAGGGTGCTGGATTCCCTGGAGCTGGAGTTACAGGCAGTTGTGAGCAACGAAGCCAACCTGCTATTTCAGGCTCACAAGGTAAAGAGAGGGGGATTATCCTCAGAGAACACTTGCCATTAAGACTAGTCATATTGGGAAGCCCTGGCTTGGACGACGATGCTCGGTATAAATGAATAAGGTGGAACAGCAAGTGAGGATGATTCTCAGCATCAGCCTCTGTCCTATAGACAATGTGAATATGCACTTGCACACGTGCAAACATTAATATATAGACATGCTCAACACACATAAATGAAATTTTAAAAATAATAAAATACTCAAAATCCAAGAGTCAGAAAGTAGGTCTGCAGTAGCCAGAGGCTATGAGGTAGCAGGAATGAGGAATGACTGTTTAGTGGTGTTTCAGAGAAACCGAAATATTCTCAGATAAGATAGTAGTAATAGTTTTGACTTCACTAAAAGGTAAAATCACTGAGTTACACACTTAAAGAGCTAATTCTATGATACATGAATTATGTCTTTATCAAAATATGTTCTCAACTACACCATAGGTCAGAATACTCTCTATAGTCACAAGGTACAGCTTTAAAATAATGAGAACAAAAAATCAGTTTACAGGCCTCTCAGATTTTTGAACCTTCAAGTCTATGACCTAGAAACAAGATTTCAAACCAGGGGGCTGGAGAGATGGCTCAGTGGTTAAGAACACTGTCTGCTCTTCCTAATAGACCTGGGTTCAATTCCCAGCACCCACATGGCAGCTCACAACTATCTGTATAACTCCATTTCCAAGGGATTTGACACCTTCATGCTAATGCACATAAAATAAACAAACAAAAAAATAAAAAAAAAGACTTAAAAAAGATTTTAAACCAAAAGAGAGAGACAGAAAATAAACTCAAAGAAGTAATCAGCTTGAGGGGGCGGGTTCTCAATAAGTATAGAGTTAGAACAGGTAGAAACAGAAGTTAGGGATCCAAAGTTAGGGATTCCCTCTAGCTTCCATTTCTATATTTTGCCAGAGGTTAATCATGTGCATGTATTTTCCAGTCACAACGGTGCTATTTTTTTATGTGTAAGTGTCTTGGCTGCATGAATGCCTACGCATGACACCACATGCATGCATGCCAAGGCCAGAAGAGGATGTTGGAACCTCTGGAACTGGATTGCTAGATGCCATATGGCTGCTTGGAATTTTACCTGGGTCCTTTGCAGAAGGCTCTTAACCACGGAGCCTTCTCCCAGCCTCAATGGTGCTATTTTCAGCTGACATGAATCTAATGTGATATTTGTCCAATATATCAATCCTGTTTCTGAGAAATAAACCTTGATTTCCTCTATCTCCAAATCCCAGCATCCACAGGTCACTTAGCCTCACTGGTCCTCCTACATCCATCTCTTCCTAACATCTCGCTCTTCTCCAATACCAGGTACCCTTACAGATGATCTCTCTGGCTTCAGTCTCACCCATTCATCTCTCTCCATTCTTGTCGCCCATTTATTCTTTCCACTCATTCACTTCTCCAATATTTAGGTCCCAGCTGACCTTTCTGAAAATGTCACTATTCTGTATCCAACACAACACCACAGCTCTGTCACAGAGAAAGACAGGAAACAGACTAAATCATAATTATTAATTGGATTACTGAAGCAAATAGTAGGTCATGCAGAAAGAGAAAACAAGGCAGACATAAGAAGGAAAAGAGGAACCTTTTAATATGATGGCATGGAGCAGTCTCGCCAATGACAGGAGGAAGGAAGAGCATGACAGAGGATGTGATGTTACCCCTCATGTGAGAAGAAAGGAGGTTAAGTAAAGGTGACAGCAGACGGTCACAGATTTTAAGGTTTGCTTGCATTTGATTGGGGGGGGG